GCTTGAACTCACGAACCGCGAGATCATGACCTGAGCCGAAGTCGGATGCTTAACCGACCGGGCCACCCAGGCGCCCCGACCCGTGCTTTTTCTGCTATACTCACTGAGGACAGGGGCCCTGGGAGACCTCCTGTCCAGCCACCAGCGGGGTCAGATGCGGGGCTCACCAGCAGCAAGGCTGGGCTGTGTCAGCTTTCGGGGACAAGAAAGGGGCATGAACAGAAGCAGCCTCCCCGACATCCAGCCATCCTAGTTCTGAACCTAAGACTTGGGTCTCCGAACCTGATGGGCCATGAGCACCCGCCCAAGTAGGCTTCTTCCCCAGCCCTGCTGGGAATGAAATCCAACTGGCCCTACCGACAGACGCTGTTGAGTCAACACGGCTGTGTATACAGACAACATCCGCCCCCAGCAGTCCGGCCAGGCTAGAAGGGCAAGCAGGGACAGGTTACAGTTGCAGCACCCTGAGGTGTGGCCTGGTTCCCCTCCAGTCACCCACCACCTCGCTGTGTGACCAGGTAGGTCATTGGTCTCTCTGAGACCCGGGCTTCTCATGTGAGACGTGAGGGGACTGGCTGGAGGCCCTGACCTTCCCTCTCTCACAGTTGGGTCAAACCAAGGCCAGACCATTGTACCAAATGGCCCCTGGTGAATACTCTATTGTCTCTGACCCCAGGGAATCGCAGGCCAGTTGCAGGAAGAATTTGTTACATTCTTCAACTCACAATACAGTTTTTCCCTCTCCCCAAGGGAAGAAAGGTGTCCAGGTCCCAGGCGAGCTCGCTAGTGTCTGACTTAGCCCCTAACACACACAAGCTTTGCAGCCAGCGGGCTCTGCCACTTTTTAGCTGTGTTAACCTTCACCTTCTTCTTCCATAAACGGCAACAGAAATTCTTACCTTGCAGGCAGACAAGACCGGGGATGCATGCGGGCCGCCCAATATGGAGGCACTGTCCATGCTTGACTGAATGAATACATATTTAACAAGTGCACACATAATGCATCATTTTCTCCCCCAGGTAAAAAAAAAAAAAAAAAAAAAAAAAAAAAAAAAAAAAAAAAAAAAAAAAAAAAAGAGCTTTTGGTATCTTGGTGATGCTCTGTAGATGTATATAATACAGAGATACATACAGAGCAGACAAATATGCAATATATCTGTGGTATGAAAATTTCATGGAGGGGGTGTGGGATTAAGAAAAAAATGCCAGGGCGCCTGGGTGGCTCAGTCAGTTAAGGGTCAGACTCCTGATCTTGGCTTAGGTCATGATCTCACAGTTCGCGGGTTCCAGCCCCGCGTCGGGCTCTGCACTGACAGCACGGGGCCTGGAGCCTGCTTGGGATTCTCTCTCTCCCTCCCTCTTTGCCTCTCCCCGGCTCACTCACGCTCGCTCTCTCTCTCTCTCTCTCTCTCAAAACAAACAAATAAATAAATAAACATTGAAAAAAAATACCTAAAAGGCTCTTTAGAGGGAGAGATAATTTTAAAAAGGTTGAGAAATACGGTCTTAATGCAAGATTTTGTCTCCACCCCCAACCCACCCCAGAGCCTTTGCACATGCTCTTCGGCCCATCCCAACCGCGTCTCTACATTATCCACTTCAGGAACAGCTGACACTTCCTGTGCACCTACTGTGTGCCAGGCGCCGGGCTACGTTCTACACAGACATCATCCCACTGGATTCTCCCCCATGTCCCCTGAGCTAGGGAGCAGTGAGGGTGCAGACTCAGTTCAAGTCCCGACTCACACACACGTTAGCTGGGTGTCCTTGGGCAAGTTAGTTAATGTCTTGGCACTTTGGGCTCCTCATCTATAGATGGAGTTAATAACAGTCCCTACTTCAGAGAGCTGCTGGGAAAACAAAATGAGTAAATACATGAAAAGCACTTAGAACAGTGTCCCGCAGATGGTAAGTGCAGGTATTTGCTATTATTGTGCTATTCTTATTCCTGTCTTATTTCAGATGAGGCAGTTGAGGCTCGGTAGGGTTGTACAATCTACTTGAAGTCCTACTTGCTAGTTAGTGATAGAACCAGGAGAGGATTCCAGGAGGTTTACCCCTGGGCCTGGGCTCTTAACCCCTCTGCTACTCTGCCCTGTATGTACCATGCTGAGCTCAATTGCCACCTCCTCCACGAAGCCTTCCGGGATTTCTCCATGTCTCTACAGGACCATATCCGTCCCTCTCTGACAGCTGTAACTACCCTGGTTTGTCAAAGTCTGTCAAAGGGCTTAAAACCCCTCCAGGACTCTGCTGATGACAGTGCTTTATCCACCACTCCCGCCCATCACCTCCACCCTGCCCTGCTGACCTGTAGCTCTCCTTCTCCGAGGGCTCCACAGTGAGGTAGTACAGGTCTCTGGAGAGGTGATATGGGTCCCATCGGGGAGGCCCCTGGGTGCTGGCCTTGATGGACCACAGCAAGCCGAAGAGTAGTAGCAGGCCACCTGCACCGCAGCAGAAGAAGCTGACGGACCTGAGCAGGGGACTGGGGGCCTGAGGCACTGGATGCCCCGTGGGAGGGGCCGGCTGGCCGGGCTGAGCACCTGCTTCTCCTTCACTCCACCAAGCAAAGCAGAGTGTCCCAGCTACCAGAAGCACCGTGCCGCTGACCGTCATGCAGTAATGGAGCGTGGAGGCCGCTCGGCTCACGTCACACGTCTGAACACAGAGAAGGGGAGACAGGAGGTAATGGGCCACGAGGCAGGCCTGCTGGGGTACTGCAGACCCACGTTTTAGTCCTCCCCTGTCTGAGGTCACGGTGTAACCTTGGAGAGGCCATTTGACTCCTCTGTGCCTCAGTTTCCTCATCTGTTAAACGGAGATGACACTCCCGACTTTGCAGGGCCGTTTCGAAGGCCACAGAGAATGTGTCTCAAGTTACCCAGCACCATGCCTGGGGCCCAGGAGCTCAGTAAGTGTGGCTATGTTCACTCTGGGCCTCTCCGGGCCTCATAGGTCCCATCAGCCTGGTGGGTATGACTCCCACCCCCACCCCGTCTACTACAGGCTGGGAGGGAAGAGAGTGAACACCTGTTGAGTCCAGCAGGCCTTCAGGGTCGAGACCTGCCGGTTCTGCATTGCCTCACCTCCCCTGGTCACAATCCCAAGAGGTCGAATTTGACAGAGGAAGGCACCGAAACCCAGGGCGGGTAAAGGAGCAAGAATGAAGTCCCGAGTTGAAATGCACGACCTGAGGCACCTTTGCGCAAAAAGGTGTTCACCATGGCCTTATGGATAATGGTCCTAATTTGGAAAAAGTCTAAACGTCCAACTATAGGCAACTGGTGAATAAACCATGGCGTACCCTCTAGATGGGATGTTAACAACTCGTCTGAAAAAACAAGCTCAGTACAAGTGTTTAACAACAGGGGAGACATGTATATCTTCCTTCTTTCAGCTTTTTTTTTTTTTTTTTTTTTTTTTTTTTTTTGAGAGAGAGAGAATCTTTTTTTATTTATTTATTTTTTTAAATTTTTTTTTTTCAACGTTTATTTATTTTTGGGACAGAGAGAGACAGAGCATGAACAGGGGAGGGGCAGAGAGAGAGGGAGACACAGAATCGGAAACAGGCTCCAGGCTCCGAGCCATCAGCCCAGAGCCCGACGCGGGGCTCGAACTCCCGGACCGCGAGATCGTGACCTGGCTGAAGTCGGACGCTTAACCGACTGCGCCACCCAGGCGCCCCGAGAGAGAGAGAGAATCTTAAGCAGGCTCCACACTCGGCACGAGCTGGAAGCAGGACTCGATCCCACGACCCTGGGATCATGACCTGAGCGGAAAAAACAGTCAGATGCTCAGGAGACTGAGCCACACAGGCGCCCCTCTTTTTTTAGCTTTGTATGCCAAATTACGCATAGGGAAGCATGTCAATCGGATAAAGAAAAAATGCACAGGAAAAACGCAAACTGGGAGCCAAACTGGCCCCAGAGCATACAGACAGGAAGAGGCTGAAACCCACGTCCACGTTGTCCCCAAAGCCAATCTCTAGGCCATTGTACATGCTGTTCCCTCTGTCTGATAACTTGCCATTATCTCCCCTCAAGTCTCAGATTGGTCCTCACCCAAGAAGCCTTCACTTCAACACCAAGTGCCCCGGGCCTTCTTGCATCACAGCACTTCTCTGACTGTGCTCAGCCTCTCCTTTGCTTGTCCTGCCCACCAGCCAGTGAGCACACTGAGGACAGGCCCATAGTGGCCCCGTTCACTGCTGTATCCCCCAGTGCCTAGCACATAGTAGCTGCTCAATGAACATTTGTTGAAGAAATTCTCTTAAGTGAGGGAAGGCGTTACTGGGCAAACACTTGTTACGTGAACAGCCTCCCTTACAGCTGGGAGGGGCTAGGACAAGGGAGGCGACACAGGAGTTCGGCAACTGCAACAGCCAGCCACGGAGTGGAGACCTGGCCTTGGTCCCCATTCTGCAGTTCTGGGGTAAGCTTACCGACCGCTCCGGGCCTGTTTCCTTACCCTTTCAAAGGTCAGGTTCTTTAGCAGGCTGTTAGGAGAAGTTAGAGACACCGTCCTTTTCCAAAATCTGAGTCAGAGAAGCAGGGGGCTGGGGAACTCACAGACCTGAGACTTCAAGGATCAGGAATGCCTTCCAAATGAGGGCTTACCCGGCCAAATATGCTGCACCCAAACAATGCCCTGCTGTGTAGCTGCTAGCTCCTAGGAGAGCTGAGGGGCATCATGTTCAAGATACAGCAGGTGAAGCTTTAGACTTCAAAAGGGCATGTCGTCAATTCTGTTTAAAAACACATGTGCGTTGGGGGGGGCGCCTGGGCGGCTCAGTCAGTTAAGCATCCAGCTTCGGCTCAGGCCATGATCTCGCAGTTCGTGGGTTCGAGCCCCGTGTAGGGCTCTGTGCCTACAGCCTGGAGCCTTCGGATTCTGTGTCTCCCTTGCTCTCTGCCCCTCCCCCGTTCTGGGTCTGTCTGTCTGTCTCTCTCTCTCAAAAATAAGCAAACATTTAAAAACACATACACGTGTGTGTACATGTGTACCTATGAGAGAGAATGTATACATGTAGCAGGGGTGTTCTAAGAGTGGACCCCAAATCTTTCTGAGCCCCCAGACCACCAGCAGCGTATAGAAAAATGTCATTCGTAAATCACCTGCCGTTCTCTTCCTATGAATCGGTCTGTGGGGCAAGTGCCTCCTGTCTCCATTATTGTGGCGGGAGGAGATGAACCCGACTCCTCCCTCTCCAAAGTTAGACAGCTACGAGAGGCTGTCGAGAGGGAGAGCTGCAGCAATCGGCTTGGAAAACCCACTTAAAACCCACAGCAGATCAGTAACAGTTCATAACGCCTTGCCTGTATACCAAGGCCCCTCTTCACACTCCCCACAACCGAGGGGGGTGGGTAGGGCAGGGCGAGAAAATTCTTGCTTTGCAAATGAGGAGACCTAGCCCAGAAAGGTGGAGGACTCTGCCCAAAGCCAGAGATTGCTTTGCTTCTCAACCCTTGAAGAACTTGTTTCTGCACAGGGCAACTTCAGATGCCCTTAGACTCCTATAAAAGCAATAGTTGCTCGTTGTGAGAAAAAGAGAGGACCCCAGAAGTGAATAAAAATGCAACATATGAATCATCATTGCTTCCGCCCCTCAGGATGAACATGACCTGCGTGTGAGGCGTCCCCTTTCCATCTCTCCCTTGCCCTACGTACATGATGATGGAGGCGGCAGACGTGTGCTAGGCATTTACACGGGCTGGGCACCACCCCGCGCTTTATCGGTGCCCCCGACTGAATCCTTGCAACAGCCTCATGGAGCTTGGAGGGTGACAGCTTGCCTGGGGTCAGTGCCAAATTTGAACCCAATGCTGGGGACCTGGGGACCTCGTCCTGGGGAGTCGTCTGTCCCCACCCAGGGCCCTCATTTCACATCCCCCCCTTCAAGACCCAGTCCAAACACCACCTCCTCCCACTGGCCCACCTGCTGCTGCCAGCCCCACCTCCCACCAGCCAGAGGAGGCCTATCCCTGCCTCCGATTTATCGCTCCCTCTAACTGCGGCCATTCCATGAGCCCTGTGACCTTGAAACTGCTCAGCATCTCTGAGCTCAAATTCTGCCTCTCAGGGAAGAGCAAGTGGTAAAGACGAGGCGGCAAGACAGCAAGCTGTAATGAAGCACGGTGATCAGAGCTGGACAAGGATGGACCCTGACTCTGACACTGTGCAATTTATCTAGCTTCTCCGTGCCTCAGCTCCCTCCTCTGTAAAATGGGCACCATTACACTGTCTCTGCAACCAACAAGGGAACTCCAAGTGCCACCCTTCCGGAAGAGCTAAGCCATCTGAACAGGAAGTGGTCCAAACCATCCCAATCAACTTCTGGGTAAACTAAGGCCCTGACTGCCATGCTCAAGGCCACCCGGCCAGTTAGAACACAGGAAGAGGACCTGGGTGTCCACTCTGCACCGCCAAGCCACTGAAGTCAAGGTGAAGAGAGGGGGGTCCAGGCGGGGTCAGCATTAGGAGGCGCTGAGATGCTCGGGAAGGAAGGAGAGGAGGAAGCTTATACCCACCTCAGATGAAGCCATCAGGCGGCAGGTGGTCAGGCGTGGTCCAGGCGCAGGGACCAGAGGGAGGTGCAATCCTGGGGATGGCTGTCCCTCGGGTTTGCAGGAGGCGCCTGGAGTTAGGGAGCAGCCTTGTTGAAGGTCCCCTAGCCCGGTTTTCCGCGTTCCCCCGAAAGCCCCAAGGTCGGGCTCTCCGTCTGGTCCAAGGGTATCTGACGTTGCTCTCACCGCCCGCAGTCGCCGTGCGTCCCACACGCTCCCGCCACCCCCTACGCGGTGCAGCGAGGTGCCCAGCAGGCCGCACCCCACGCGTGCCTGCCCTGGGTGGGGGGGGAAGGGGGGGGCTGTGATCCCCGCAGGGGCTCTGCGAGCTGCAGGGCGCTCTGGGGCGCCAGGCGTGTGCGGGGCCGGGCTTCGTCCTCCGCCCCCGACTCGGGCTCGAGCTGGGGGGGCACCTGCCGCCCCACCTCCCCTGCGATCCCGGTCCTCGCGTGCCGTCGGTCAGGCCAGAGACTCCGGGTGGCCGCTCTGGGAGCTCCAGGTGCCGCGCCTCGGCGCTGCCGGCCCCGCCCGACCTTAAAGCGACAGCGCGACCGGGGAGGGAGGGGTTAGGGTTTCTAGGCCGCGGGGAGCGCCGGGCAGGGGTGGCCACCATCGGGAGCTGGCTGTCCTCGCAGCCGTCCCGCCCCGCTGCCCCACTGGAGTGGGCTTGAGAGCCCAGACGGACTCCTCCCAGAGCCACCAAACCTCAGTCCCGGTCGAGAGGGCTCTAGGAGACCTGAGCCCATGCCTCCTCGCTCTCACTCTACAGAGAGGGAAACTGAGGCCCAAAGAGGGTTTACCGCATACTTCTTGGTAGTGACTGGCTTTTGCTTCTCAGCGCACTGAATCTGAGAGCAGGCCTCCCTCCAGGACCTCAGATCCCGAGGAGGAAGGCGTTCTCAGAAATAACGGCTGGCATTTACACGCTTCCCCCAGTCCCTGCAGGAGGTGGCTGCCCTGGCCCTGAGAGGCTGGGGACACTGGGGCTTGGGAGCAGGGCCTCCCACCTGCCGTGTGACCTAACTTCTCTGCACCTTCTTCCTTCTGTGGCAAAGGAGGGCTGATGATTCCAACTCACAGGTCTTCCGGGACTGAATGCGTTAAGTGGGGCAGGTTAAGTGCTAGGCCATTTACCAAGTGCAGGCTAAAGGCGGTCTGGGGGGACAGGTGATTTAGGAGTCTGCAGGTCAGGTGAGGCGTATGGAGGTGTATGGAGTCTTCTACAGGGGGACACCTGAGGACTCCTAGAGTGTCAGGAATGGGGTGTCGTGAGTGCAAAGCCTGGGCAAAATCACAGGCTGGTTAAACCTCCACAGATCCATGTTGGTCAAAGAGAGCCAGCCCCTGGACTAGCTGAGGCCCTGGTTTTGCTTTTGTCTTTTCCTGCTGCTCCAACAAGCCAGGGGACTGGGCCACATTCCCCTCAGCCACAGCCAATGGTTCCCCACCAAACTGGTGGCGACCAACTGTCCTTCCAGCCCAGGGACACAGAAGGTCAGAGCAGCCTGTCCAGCTGGGATCTAAAGCTCAGACAGGGGAAACCGCGGCCTCAGTCATACAGCAGGTCAGCAGCGGGGCCCAGGTCCCCGGTTCCTTCCCTCCTCGTCTCCAAGGAAATGCCACCCAAGAGCATTAGTGTTCTCTGAGCACAGACTCCTCTGACTGTGAGGTCCTTTTCATCTTGGCTGTGTGTGAGCCTCAGGAAGCTCGGGAGGCCTACAGAGAGTTGAGAAGCGGCTGACCTCAGACCAGAACCTCCTTCAGCTTTGCTATTCTCAATCTGGAGGTGGGGACAAGCTGGTGGGGACCAAAGTCCCCCAGCAGCCCCCGTGGTGCCCTCATGGACTTGCTCCGAGGACAGAGATAAGAGGAGGAAGCTCCTCCTTGAAGCACCCTGCCCCACTCACTCCTGCAGGGGCAGGCGTCCATGCAGGGCGTGAGCCCCTCACTGATCAGGACCCATCGACCCCGCCACTCCTCCGTCAGTAGGCCCGGGGGTACGTCACAAGTTGGTGAGGTGGAGGTCCCCACTTGGGGACACCCCTGACCCTGCTTAAACCTGAGTCCCCTGGCCCAGGCTGGACACCAGGCCCTGGAGTTGGACAGGTTGTGTTCTGTCCCGACTCAGCCACCTCCAGGCAAGAAGACCCTGGCCACATCCTTTTCTTGGACCTGCTGTTGCTTTATCTATAAAGTGGAGATCATGGCCCCTCCTTCCCAGGGTAGCTATGAGGGTTAATTAAGGCCTTATGCATAAGAAGCTGGCCTGGGCGCACTCTCACATGGCATCGTGGCTCTATTTGTGATTCTCTCCTAGCTGATGGTGACCTCCCCAAGGGCAGGGACCAGATGTGGCTGGGCTCAGGACCCAGCCAGGCCCAGCACCGCCGGGACCAGAGTGCTCGTAGACCCTTCCTGAGCAAGCAACCTCACACTTTCCTGGGCACCAGCTGGGCGACTCGCAGGAGAAAATCGGTGACCAGCTTCTGCCTCAAGGGGGTGGAGAAGAGAGTTACCGCTTGTACCCGCTTATCAGATGTCACCGGCCATCTGCTTTTCCCATTAGCTGTCACCTCAGCTAAGTCATCGAGGCTGAGTGAGAATGCCAGGGTTACATAGCTAGTAAGTGAGGGGAGGCGGGTGGGGAGAGGGGGTGCTAAAACCCACATGGGTCTGAATCTTCTAGACCCATATGCACTTTTCCATTTTAGCCATATTGGCCCCTCCTCAGTTCCAATCAGGGCTGCTGCCAACACCTCTCACTGGCCTCTCTGCCCCTAGACTGTCTGCCCTTCATGCTGCGCCAGCCTGAGCCTCTAAACCAGCACCGCAACCAGTCCCTCCAGTCCCTCACCCACCTAAGACTTTCTGTGCTCCCCGGTCCTCTCAGAATGATGACCCCAGCTGCCGAGTATCCACTCCCCAGCTTCATTCCCCGTGCTCCCCTGAGGCCACTCCTAAACTCATGGTCCAGGGTGTTCCAAGCACAATGCCAGGCCTTTTCTACATCCGGTGAGCTTCACCTGATGAGCTCACACACTTCCTTTAAGACTCAGGTCACAGGTCACCTCCTCCGGGTGACTTTTCCTCAGTGCCCCAAAGCAGAACGATCTGGTCCCTCTCCCAACCTCCTACAAGTCTGTAAAGTCCATCATTACCCTGAGCCCGCCGACACAAAACCACACGCCTTCCCTTCTTCCGTTCCAATGAAAAGAAATAGCTGGGGGCGCCTGGGTGGCTCGGTTAAGCATCCAACTTCGGCTCAGGTCATGATCTCGCAGTCTGTGGGTTCTGCGCTGGGAGCCCGCATTGGGCTCCGCGCTGACAGCTCAGAGCCTGGAGCCTGCTTGGGAGTCCCTGTCTCCCTCTCTCTGCCCCTCTCCTGCTTGTGCACGCTCTGTCTCTCATTCTCTCCCTCTCACTCTCCCTCACAAATAAACTTAAAAAAAAAATAGTGGAGATTGCAGAGAATTTAGAATATATCAATAAGTTAGAAGAAATCAGGGGCGCCTGGGTGGCTCAGTCGGTTGTGTCTGACTTAGGCTCAGGTCATGATCTCGTGGTTTGTGAGTTCCAGCCCCGTATCGGGCTCTGTGCTGACAGCTTAGAGCCTGGAACCTGCTTCCGATTCTGTGTCTCCCTCTCTCTCTGCCCCTCCCCTGCTTATGCTCTGTCTCTGTCTCAAAAATAAATAAACATTGAAACAAAAAAAAAACTTTAAAAAGAAATCAGGATATCTGCCTTCACAGATACAGAGCCCTGTAAGAGAAGAAAAACATTTCCCTGAGTATAGCCTCATCTGCACAGGGTCTGCTCACTCTCTCACCCCTGCCCTTGCACTCTCACCTTTTTGAGCAGGCTGCTCTGGGGTCCATGGTCCCGGGCCACATTTGGAGAAGCAACGAGAAATAAGCACTGGAATCAGGCTTCTCAGGATTGTTACGAGGATTAAATGAGTTATTATATAATGTGCTTAGCAACAGTGCTTGGCTCATAGTGTTAGCGATATTGGCTGTTATTATTACTATTATTATTATTCTATCTGTACAAAGAAAGAAGCAGTGAGAGAATCCACGATCTTCTGGGAGGAGCATCCTCTTTCCCTCTTCCACCTCCTGCTTCTTGGCCTTTTCCAAGACCACCAACCACCTAGGGACAACCAGCCCCTGTGACATTATGACATAACGCTTTTCCAAAAGTGCACGTCTTAACAAAAATCTGATCATGCATTGCATACCATTTTTAATAAGCTTCTATTTTCATTTAACACAGTCTATCTTGGATACCTTTCCACATGTCACTGCACTCTCATCATTTGCTTACATGTCTCACTCACCTACAGACAGCATCTTGTGGGCAGGCATAGACATCTCATGTCCCGTGCCCACCCTTCTCCCCCACCCCGTGCCACCTCAAAGCTGGCACACCATAAGCCCACTGTGAGTGTGTGTCACGAACGGCATGGGATGTGCAATGGTGGGTTCTGTTCCCTGCCTACGAGCACAGCACATGTCCCTAGGGAGGGGAGAAGGCTCCTAGGGGATTCAGTTTCTGCCAGCAATGCAGCCAAGGCCAGTCAAGGCCAAGGAGTGGGAATATCTTTAAAGAACAGTCTCTGAGCACATTCCCTAATGTCAGATGGCAGCAGGACTCTGAGGCTCGGCTTCATGAAAGAGGGGGTTTAGACCAGTGTTCTCAACCCACGGCGATTTTGCCCACTCTTATTCCTCAGAAGACATTTGGCAATGTATGGAGATACTTTTGCCTTCACAACAGTGATGGGCTGAGGGATGCTGCGGGTATCTAGAGTGCAGGGGCTAGGGATGCTAAAAACACCCTATAATGCTCCCACAGCAAAGAATGATCTGTCCCAGGTGTGGGTGCCAAGATTGAGAAACCCTGGTTGAGACTTGGGCTTCGGAGACTGCTTGGTTCAAAGGATTTCAGCGTTCTGCAGAGAGAAGGAAAAATAAATAAAT